TCTAACACATTCGAAAGAACGGACAGGACCTAAGTTACCCTCGAGTAAGGTGGTAAACCTCGGTCCTAGTTCGTTTTGGGTGCACAAGAACGACTACCCATTGAACCCAGGAGCGTCACCGCCACGTCGCTCGACAAACCGACTACGTCTCGCCTACGTGCACGACCCACATGCCAATTGGTACAGGACCTACCATCCTTCCCGGGTCTAGGTAAGTGTCGTACCATGTGTTCATGGTCACCAGAACTTCACCTAGATTCGTCAATGACCTTGGTCACTTAGCCTCGCCTCCTCGCCTCACACACCCTGTAAATCCTTCCCAACTTCTGGTCTGGGCTCGGCGACGTAAGACCTACCTCGACGTCTCCAGCCTACCGTGTACGTCTCATCTAGTCGGTCCTCCCTCAACGTCATCAGATCCGCCTCTACTGCTCTCGGGGACCCTGGTCTTGGACGCACGAAAGACCCAGTCGACCCCTGCATATAGGAGGACTACAACATTTTCTCACATAAGACGTCGTCGCCAACAACGTCGCTACAAACGATCACTTCCTGGTCAACCAATAGATCCCAGTGTGGATTCTAAGGAACGTCAGCTCGCCCCTTTTTGTCTCCCGGGGCTGTGACTTGTATGAGTACTTCATCTACACGGAATGAACATTTATAGCTACTCTTACTTGTACCTACAGGCCTAGCTTAGCCACGGGTAGAGGGGAAATAACTTTATTCAGGCAGTCCCGGGGTGTATCCATTACTGTTTGCTCTATATTATTTGGTCAAAGTAATACTGTTTCCCATACAATCGAAATGTGTACACTTAAACCCCCATCGTTTTTCTGTTGAACGGAGTTTACAGGCGAATTTTACGGAGTTACAGTACTTCGGACTGAACAGAAACGTTAGGAACATGTCTTCACAAAAAATGGCAAATACAAGAAACAAATTTAGAACGATTTGGGGTATTGTTATCCCTTCTATAAATGTGGTAGGAAGTTTAATTAGACATGCCCCTTAAAAATTGAACGGAAACTCCAGCTGTAAACCAAACGTTCAAAAACAACTTAGAGTCCGCCTTTATTGTACAGTGCGTTAATACCACATTGAAAATTGTAATGAGTGACAAACGCACAGAAAAGATCGCAATTCCAACGAAAGGAAGTCAAATGAGAGGTGCGTCGTAGAGATTACCGACAGACACTCCCGTTTGGACCGTCTCCCTCGAGTGTACGTAACTATATGGACACTATTTTTTTTTTCCCCTTTTTTTCCCCTTTTCCGTTTTAATTTTTCTACATGTTGTACGACGTCGCGACTTACTAGGCTGTTTTCAATGTAACTATTTGACAAAAGGGTGGGTCTTTCGTCAGGAGTCTAAACCAACTACCCAAAGAACCATCTGTTCTAACGAAAGGGTTCCTATGATTTAGGTTGCAAAAGGAAGTCCTTCAACTACTTTTTCAGACGCTAGACGCTCGGCCTCCGTCTTTTAAGCCCAGTCAAACCCAAATATCAGTGTCACTCTACCGGCTTCGAGGGTCGACTCTACTGGCCCTTACGAGTCCGGAGTTTGGTTAGAGTAGTGACCCACCTATTGTCCTCCCCCCAAATTTTCATTTTGTAGCTCTTCAAGGAAACTACCACCTATTAGTTTATTCTTTGTCTCAGTATTGTAGTGAGGTGATTAACCTCCACCGTATTCCGTCTTCCGGGGTCGTACTGCGTAGTGTAAAGACGTCTTTCTATTGTATTAAGGACCAGTAGTTTTTCCGAATTATTACATACAGTGGATACAATGTCTACATTAGTTTCCTAGCGTTACCTCCTCAAAGTGCCTGTGAAACCCTAAAATCGGAAACGGTCTTTGTAAATGTAACGTGTTTTTGGATATCTTAGTGTGATTTGTCCATTTCCTTTTGGCGAGTTTTCGTATTATCCCGAAAGTTTGATTATATATGGTTGGTGTTTTGAAGGGGTCAATGTCATTCTCTCAGTGATGGAAGGTATCGTCGGTAATGTCATTCATTCGTAAGGAACTTTTATCAAACTGATTTTAATGATTAATTAGTAAAAACGGTAAATTCAAGTTTAGTACAGGTACAGGTACTTTCGTTATCAGTGCATTGACACGGTCGATCTCTGATTAGATCTCTTACTATTTGACAGCATAGTGTTTTTCCCTGAACATAAGCTCTTGATTCGTTTCGGAGGTCAATACTTTGTGTCGTTTCAAATTGGGAACTAGAATAGTGGTAGTTGTATTCGCAGTGAAAAATTGTTACTCTAAAAGGTTCCTGCTTCTCTGTTGCGACTTTTCCTTTTGTGTCTATTTCTACTCAAGACAAAGGACAAAGTCATAGGGGGTTTTAACAGGAACGGTTGTAAAAATTTAGAGAGTCACTCAGAAATGGAAATTTCGCAAAAATGACCGTTTTTCATAGTTATTTACCGGAGTAATTACGTGGTTTCTGTTGAAGATTATTGAGAATTTCCAGTGGATGATACGTTTTAGGTGAAACAGTACAGAGAAGATTGTTAGTTGTACACAGGGGAGAAGAAGTACAGAGAAGATGTAGTTGTACACAGGGGAGACACCTTGTTCTAGACTTTCAAAAGTCCTTGTTTCTAAGAGAGAGAAAAAACAGGACTAGTTAAAAGATATTTTGGACAGAACTTTATACTGGACTAGTCTAAAACCGGTGAAATACACAGTATGTGCTACAAAACAGAACACATTGGTAATCGGTTAGTGGTCTGGGTTCCATTTGGGTGGGGCAGGGGGGGCAATAGTGGACTTAGAGGAGGATTGCTCGTGCGTAACTCAATAAAAATTGGTTACAGATAGTCTGCCCGCACCCTCCCCGAGGAATAAAGTAGATTTCATTGTCTGTCTCTTAGTCATGAACTTTGTCCCGAACTCTTGTCTCCCCTTAATACACCCATAATCGACGTCACTAAGACAAACCACAAAACCTCTGTTTGAGAGTCTCTGTACAGACATTATATAGACTCTGGATTTTATATACTTACTATTCCCTGGAAATTAACGTAAGAGTAGGAACCATAAGTTAGTCAGGCTTAAACTGTAGAAAACTGGTGAGTGTACGTCATTAAAACTCATCGGCGCAGGTGGAGGGAGTGTCCACGCGACGTGTCGGGACAGGCCAACACATGTGTCACCACAATTTGGCAACATCAAACCGACAGTTAGACACTTCAAATTTGGAAACCCTTACCTTTCTTCTATTCCACTAATTATAAGTTTAACTTGAGTAATTAGAGAATGCCGGGTTAGTTCTAATTTATGGGACTTAGTTCGACCGGTGACCAGGTTTATGGCGGAACTAAACAGGGGTTAGTTGTTAACAGAATTTTACTGTAAATGTCGTAGTGCTCTTTATTATATAATCAAATTAAACTACCATTTCTCTGATCGGATACCTGGACATAAAACACCCATAACTTAAAGTGTGTACTACGAACTAAAGTCGGTTGAACCATGACGGTTATTTAATAAAAATTTCCTTCCAAAGAATTTAAATCCTCTCTAAGGGACAGACTGAAAACTCATCTCTTTAGACTCCACTTCGAGCGATAGAATTATTAACAAAGCACTTATATACTAATAAAGGACTGGCTTATCTAAAGCCATTTGAGTAGCACTTGAAATGTTTGGCTCTATGAAACCTGATGTACTTATATGATTCTGTTTTCTTCAAATTTGTATCTTCTTGGTCTAATGCACTTATTGTAATTCGCTTTGGATAAAAGCCTCAGCTAAATGCAATGTAATGTAATGTGTTAAAAAGACTTCTGAATTTATGGTAAAACCTTTTTTCTTCGGCAAGTAAAGATGTAGCACAATGCCACCTGTTGAAGCCATTTTGTATTTCTATCTTATTTCTATTTCTAATAAAATATCATGAATGTTTTGTATATGATGTTTTATTATTTATATGTATTGAGCTACTTCACATCTACACTCCCTCTCGTGCTCTCCGATCCTCCTCTGCCTTCCAACTCACTGTACCTTCTGCCCGGCTGACCACCATGGGGTCAAGAGCCTTCAGCCACTCTGCCCCCCGTCTCTGGAACTCTCTCCCACAAGACATCCGCAATATGGACTCACTCTCAACCTTCAAATCCAGCCTGAAAACATACCTTTTTAAACTGGCGTATTCAATACCTTAATTCTGCTAAACTGATTGCTGTTTTGAAGTCTTTGTTTTGAAGTCTTGTATTACTGTGTGATCTTCTTTGTTGCTTGTTTTTAATTATGGTCTGTAAGGTGTCCTTGAGAGCTTTGAAAGGCGCCCATAAATAAAATGCATTATCATTATTATTATAATTATTATTATTATTGTTTTTGATTGATGCCGACCATCAATGTATTATTATGGTGACGTCGTCACATAGGCGTGGTTTTGGCCCTATAATAGACGACAGGTGCTCACGATGAGTGGAAGGCAAACAATTTATTAACCGCACGATAGAGACCGCATTGTGAAATCTGAATGAGTAAATGTACCCAAGATATACCTCTTATGGCTTCGAATCTTTTTTTTAAGAGTTTAGAGTTTTGTTTAGTATTTTGTCAGTTTTTCTTTAAATATTGGCGATGTCTGATCATTAATGTGGATGCGCGTAGATTTTTCTAACACCGCCCTTTACCTTACTTTACCTTCCTGTAGCCCGGAGTACTACCTCAACACAACATCTGTAAAGGCCATGCAAGATGTTGTGGTTGTCACTCTGCCACCGAGGAACTACACCTCTGGATCTCACTCAAAATTCAACGACACGGTGAGCAGCGTTTTTACTAAACACTGCGAATGGAAAAAAGTTACCGAATTGTTTGATGTTATTGTGAGTTTTTCTATTTGATGGGCAGATTAACGACTACGTGGCTGGGTATCATGACGGGGCCTTGCTGTTTGGCAAAGTGCTCAGAGAGACGATGCTGGGTCAGCGCGTTGACAGAATCTACGATGTGCCTCTGAGTGACAACCCTTTTGGAAACACCTCTTTTTACGGTGTGTATATGATTAGTGACAACTCGAGGTTAGAAAAGACAATGGGGGACAGAAATGTAAAGCAGGAGAAATGTAATATACTAGTTTTGCGGTTCTTCTGCCCCTGTGTAAAAGCAAGATTCAACCGTCAATACTACATTAGTTGAATTGCAAACTAATTTAGGTTGCAGGAAGTAATGAACAGACCTTCATATCCTTCCACATGTCAGGGTACTGGCCCTTTTACAACAGCCAGACATCCAGGATGGTCTGAGGCTCTGGAGATTATATATTGCAATTTTTCATATTTTTCTAGGTGGAGTTTGTTAAAAGACAGTGCCTGTAAATGCTTAAAAGTGCCACAGAACTTACAGACAAAGTGAAATGGTGGACTGTTTTCTAGTACATCTCCACTTGTACTGCTTACTAATTTGGAAAAATCTAAATGAAAGTTAAATGTTGGCGCTACAACTGTTAGGGGAACTATTTGATAACGTCAAGGCCAGAGCTAGAGATCCATAGCACAACTTGCATCACTTCTGATGTTAAGTTTCATGAGTTTTCGAGAACTTCCTGCGAATTGAAAATGCTATTTAGTGTATTATGTATTGGCATCTGTTTTGATAATCGAGTATTGCTGTTTTTGCAAGGTATCAATTACATAATATTATATTGTAACTATGGCATTTCCAGAAAACACTAATATTGTCTTTTTTGTATATGTGTTTGTGTGTATTTGCTTCCAACAGGTATGGGAGGACACTATGTGATCGATGAGTACGGTGACAGAGATGTTAACTTCTCTATGATTTACACATCAACTGAAACTGGCATGGTAAGGCGATTTCCATTCAGCCTTTATCAGTCAACTACTTTACCCTTTTCTCCTATTATTTTTTTTTTAATACTTGTATTTGGTCTTTTTCTCCAGTACGAAACCCTGTTACTGTTTGACACTTCACGAAATAAAACCATAGTGATTGACCAAAACCCCACCCTGCTCTGGCATGGTCGCCTGCCTAATGACAAGCCAAAAACCCCAGATGGTAATAAACACACACACACACACACACACACACACACACACACACACACACACACACACACACACACACACACACACACACACACACACACACACACACACACAAAATGATGTAGAGGTAGTGTGCAAGCGTGTTTTTATTTTAAATTATTCCAATTTATTTTAGAGAACAACAAGATCTTGATCAAGTTGTTTTTTAAATAAACTTAAGAAAACCCTTAAATTGACTAGATTTTCCAAGGCTTATATTAAAGGCTTTCTCAATTCCAGTGTGTATCTGTTTGATTGAGTCATTTCTCAAATAGGTTTTCTCCTGCAAGGTTGATAACATCATTAGCCCGCGTTCACACCGCAGTACTTTTCCCACTTTAATTCCGAAGAGCCGGAACAAAAATTAGTTAATCAGAACCTTTTTACCCCCTTTTCCGTCCCTGCTAGAGAGCAGGTACTTTCGTGGGAGANGAAAAGCTCAAATTCTGCTTGTGTGTGTGTGTGTGTGTGTGTGTGTGTGTGTGTGTGTGTGTGTGTGTGTGTGTGTGTGTGTGTGTGTGTGTGTGTGTGTGTTTACACACACACACACACACACACACACACACACACACACACACACACACACACACACACACACACACACACACACACACACAAGCAGAATTTGAGCTTTTCACTGGAGCTTTCAGACGGACCACTCTGAAGGAGAGGGGTCCTCCACATTCAATCTCCAATATTTGTCCCTTTTATGAAAAAGCACTCTGCGGCTCAGACGCCGTCAACAGCCTCTGAGGAAATCACTTCAAGTACATTCTTAAAATGATTACAAATCACCCTTGGACCTCTATGGAGGTCTGTGTGGGGCCAGAGACCCTCAGATGCACGCTGATAAATCCAAGAACATGCAATTAGGAAGTAGTTTTGTACTAATATGCCTTTTTGAAAGAGATTTCCAAGTTAAGAAGGGATGATTGTTCCAATGCGAGAAAAAAAATGAAGAGAAATACACTGTGTAAAACTTTAAAATTGGACTCCATCCTTAAAAGTGCTTTCCTCCTTTGACGGACTACAAATGGTTTAAAAGCTTCATTTTGGCTGTGGATTGTGTTAAGAAATTGTTACAAAAGGTCACAGAGCAGATGTTGATTTTTCAACAGCTCCTTCTTAGTACCATTCCTGCCAAGATAAACACATATTAATTCAATTAAGTGCATCACGTGTAACTAACAGACCTTTGTTCTAGGGTTCAACATATTCCTATTGATATGCAAGCTTCTAACCAAATGTCCTGCCACAAATGGCTAAGTCCTTCAGTAATATCAGCTTAATGACTCACACCCATTCAGGTTCTTTTCTCATGCAAACTAAGGGATCATTATGCAGCATGCAGCCCCACGGCCAGAAGCGAGCATCCACAGCCACCATGCCGCATTGTTTATCCCTAATTAGAAACTAATTAAAAGAAAGCAAAGGGGAAAAGACAAATACACACATTTAGAGCTAACTCTTTAATATGCAATCAGGGGTCTTACTGGGGCCGTAACAACAAGCTTAGCATAACGCAGGCCAGGCGCCTCAACAACACCCGGGGTGTCTCTAGCCAAGGTTAACATGTGGGGGTCACTGTGGAGACTGCACTCCTCCTGTGGCTTTAAGTAAAATAATACTGAATATAACAATTACTGGAACATTTACAAACTGATCAAGTTCTAATTTGAAATAAATCCCAAAAGGTTACATCGAGCTGGAGCAATCAACTTATTAAAATCAACATGTTGTAATGTAACATCTGTACCAACAATAAAGAGATTATTTAACGATAAACAATTATTTTTATTATTGATTAATGAGCTGATTAAGTTCCAAACTATTTGTTCTAAAATACAAAGTTGTCTTTTTGCTGTCAAAGAAAATGTTATATGATAAATGTGTCTAGGATAAACACTCAGCAGCCAACATCTTTGAAAAGTAGAACAATTGTGACTTTTCTACACTTTTCCTGAAAACATGGCTTACACAATCAATCAAGTCTCAACATATTTGCAGATTAGTTTTCTGTGAATTGACTTATCGTTAAAGGTAACTAATAGTTTTTGCTCTTCAATACAAGTAACTTGTGGATACAACCTGTATATATTTTGGAGCAAAGGTCAACTTTCTGGGAACTATTATTCCACGAGATCAACATTAAATCAAAGCAGGATATCAAAGAGCTTGAGTTTAACAGCCACAAGAGCAACAAGAGATTTGTTAAAAAGGTATCCTTCTCCTCTGCAATAAATAAAAACCATCATCAAACCATCAAACTAAAATGCAGGTGTATACAAACTGATAAAAAGCCACCACCAATATCTAGAGATGAGCTGTAAATGTGATGCAAAAAGTTGTGATTTTCATTGGATTTAGACACAGATTTCTTAAATAGACTAAATCCAGATTTTTCTTATCAGCCAAGATTAAAATAATAAAAATGATATAAACCTCAACATTCAAACATCTTTCAGACTCAAACATCTCAAGCAGCAACATTTCTTCAATCAAGAATCAGTTGAAACCCTCAAACCAAACATTTCTCTGCTCCATTAAAAGTTTCCGCAGCGTTATAAAGTCTCTGCTGGACTCACCGTTGGAGGCTGGTACTTGTGTGGCCACGGCCAGCAGAGCCATCAGAGCCAGCAGCTTGACGTCCATGGTGGGGGGCTAACAGGCTGAGGGGGGGCTCTCTCTGCTACAATCCAGGAGCAACAGTGACTGCCAGCTCTGCTCTGCACTGTGTTAAATCCTCACAAGGGAGAGAGAGAGAGAATGAGAGGGAGAGTGAGGAGGGAGGGAGAGGGAGTCCCACTTTCTCAGGAGGAAGGGGAGGAGGTCCCAGCATGAGAGGAGGGGGGGGG